CACTTATGCCTGATTGTCCTGGGTCTGTTGGCAACGGACTCGGCTGCTTGAAGGTGTAATATTGTACCTGCCACCTTTGTTGGTTCCAGGGTTCATATACTTTCTACTTGAAGTATACATACCTGTTACCCATGGACTGCTTCTGGCTAGATTAACTCTTGTGCAGTCAATGGTACTAGTGAAGCTTTTATCAGATCCACTCTGATTTAGCCACCCACACTAGTAGCAAGTATTACCTTCACTGGGGGCAGGGGTAACTGCAGTTGGATCCCGGGACGGATACACTGATGCCGTCAATCCTTTTTTCTGCATCTTGTCCTCACACACTTACTGAGGTGTGGTGAGCCTATAAGTGAGATTATTTTCAAGTCCACCCAGAGTTTTGGGGATTTCAGGGGGTGTCGGCCGTTGGGCGATTCAATAGCCAATTGAGTCATCTTTCCAAGATTCCTTTTGAGTCTCTCTCCCCTCTCCCGGGGAGACCCACGCGACCAGTTTTGGCAGTGAGCAACAAGTACAAGTGTGTGTGTGTGTGTGTGTGTGTGTGTGCATTTGTGTGTGTGTGTGTGCGTTTGTGTGTGTGTGTGTGTGTTAGAGAGAGAGAGAGTGTGTTTCTGTGTGTGTGTGTGTGTGTGTGTGTGTGTGTGCGTGGGTGTGTGTGTGTGTGTAGCTAAAGGACCGTCGCACGTCTTCCCCTGAAGATCCTACGCCTTCCGATATCTAACAGGCAGTGATCAAGGATAAGGCCAACCCAACTGGCTCGAGAATGCCAACATTAGTGAGAAATTGTCCTCTATCAAGTCCACCCTTGACACTGCTGCATCCACAGCCCTTGGATTTTCCAAACAGCGTCAGCCAGACTGGTTCCAGGAAGCCCTGTCAAACATCCCACACCTACTGGACACGCGGAATGCGGCCTACGAGGATTGGCTTCGCCGTTGGCCAGCAGCGAGACACTCCATTTCATCAGGAGTTTAAGGCAGCCCGCTCGAACGCACGCGCAGCAATCGATACGGCCAGAGTGGACTGGATCAAAGCTAAAGCTCAGGTGGCCACCAACGCCCGTTTCAATGGCGCTGTCATGTGGAAATGTATCCATGACCTCCAGTCTGCTGGGCGCGGCCTTCAACCACTACGGACACCAGCGATCGTTGACGAAAACGGAAATATATGCACGTCACCGCGTGAGCAGGGCCAGCGCTGGGGAAGGCACTTCTCTGGAGTGCTCAACGTCATGAGCACTTGGACACCGAACGCGCTGAATGGTATCCCTCAGCTACCGCTTGCCGAAGACCTCGCTGAACCTCCCACGCTGCGCGAAGTGTGTCGCGCCGTTGCTCGCTTGAAGAATGGCAAGGCTGCTGGAGCTTCGGGCGTTTTGCCGGAGATGGTAAATGCAGGGGGTGAGTCGCAGAACAACAAGCTTGTGGAGCTATTCGGAGATGTGTGACGTGCCGGCCAAGTGCCGCAGGAGTGGGTAGACGCTGTTGTATTGTGATGTAATGCATTACGTAGCCATGCAAGAGCATGCGCGAGATACGCATCTCGCAGCTGCCTACTTTCATGCAGGATCCCTTAGATGTCGGGGTTCTTATGATTTTCCTACAATTGCCAAGTGAGAATATAATCCTGTCGTAAACAACTAACTTGTTTACCCCGAAACATGGTGCCAGAAGTAAACTAAATAAACGCCCTAGAATTGTCGCAGTAGCGCCATCGATGCAAGAGGTAAAATGGCAGAAGCAGCCGGATTTACCCCGCCGTCGATGGATTGGCAAGCCGCAGATTTACCTGACGAATTCGAGCGGTTCCAACAATACTGCCTTCTAGTTTTCCATTGCCCTTTTCCGACAAGTCCAACAAGGAAAAGGTTGCCTATGTCATGCTATGGATCGGGAGAACTGGTGTTGATGCTTTCAATAGTTTCGAGTGGGATAATGCAAGCGACAAATCCAAAGTATCTGCCGTCTTCAAGAAATTTAATAAGCATTTGCAGCCACGGGTAAATGCACGACTGGCTCGGTTTGAGCTTCAGAAATACCGCCAGCAACCCGACGAGTCTGTAGATGATTTCTTTGCGAGGTGTAAGAAGAAGACGTCCAAGTGCAAGTTCAGGGACGCTCAGGAGACTAACGATCGCCTGATAGAACAGCTAATCGTGGGGACGAAGCACTCGAAAGTGCAAGAACGCCTGCTGAAGGGTGGTAGTGATTTGACTCTGGACAAAGCGCTTGACAAGGCCCGTACTTATGATGCAACACAGCGCCACATGGAGCTGCTGTCCACCGCCACCAGCAGCAGCCGTCTACCTGAAACGGTTCACGCCATTTCCAAATCTGTGGGACACGCAGACTGTGGCAAATGTTGACGAACCCACCACCCAAGCAAGTGCCCAGCGCACGGCTCCACCTGCAAAAAATGCGGGAAGGCGAATCACGGGGCAAACGTATGCCGTTCGCAGGGGAGAGGCGAGGCACCTGGAAGGGGCCAGCAACGCGGACGCTGGCGCCCCAGAGGAGCCCCAGCCCGCGGGAGCGCTACTCCCAGAGGAGCCCCAGCCCACGGAGACGCTTCGACGCACTGCATTTCGGCGCCGTCATCATCGACAGCGTCGAGCGTCACCAACCGCCATCATCGACAGCGTCGAGCGTCACCAACCGCCACTAGAGCGAGAGGTGTTCGCGACCCTCAATGTCAGCCTGGACAACACCAACAGACCGGCCACCTTGAGAGCCAAGGTGGATACGGGCGCCCAGGGCAATATTTTGCCGCTGAGATTGTTCTGCCAAATGTTCCCCCAGCACGTCGGACCAAACGGATACCCAAAGCCGAAGTCCGTGAAGCCGTCAAGTACCACCCTCACAGCATACGGCGGATCCAAGATAAAGCAATGCGGAACCCGTCCTATTCCGTGCTCTTACGATGGCAAGAGTCAACTCGCTGACTTCTACATCACGGACTGGTTGAACAAGCGGTCACGTGCTCCTGGGTGCCAAAAAATCACCTGGTCACCACGCCAGCAGGCGACAACTTTCACACCAAGGTTCAACTCGAGTGACAGGACTGCACCCAAAAAAGGTCAAACAGGCCAGTAAGTTGTACCCTGCAGGCACCGTGACCAGGTGACTGGCGTACGCAGGAGCACGTGACCGCTTGTTCAACCATGTTCGATTGGGAATAAAGGAAGAACGCTGCATTGCAGCCTTTTCGGACCGAAACCAGTCGACTCAGCGTCCAAAAGACTACAATATATGGGCCAATCGCGGTCATCCGTGCTTTTATTATAACGAAATGGCGCTTTTAGTGACATTTTGCATACAAATCCCCATCTAGTAGGGCGCAGTCGCCCAGTTTCGGTGGAAGTGCGCGAGTTCGATTGGGATTCAAGTAGGAAGGAAGCGTCTCAGCTTCCTCGGACCACGACCATTCGACTCAGCACCCCGAAGACTACGATTGGTGAAATTTTAATTTTTGCCTTAACTTCCCCTTTAACGCACCGTCTCAGTGTCGGGTGGACATCCTAGCAAAGGAATTTGTTAGCTGCACTGCGCGTTAGGGCTTGACCGTGAGCACTTCCAAGACGAAGGTGATGGCCGTGGGTGATGACTCTGCTCGGTGTGGCATACATCTGGAGTCTGGTGATGTGATTAACCAGGTGGCCAGTTTTACCCACCTCGGTGGTTCTCTGGACGATAACGGTTCACTGGAGGGCGAGGTAGCAGTGCAGCTGGCTAAGGCGTCACGTGTTTTTGGCTCCTTGCAGATGCCCATTTCCCAATACAAGCCCCTATCCATACGCACGAAGAGACTGGTGTATACGGCCATTGTACTCACTACTCTGTTTTACGGTGCCGAGACCTGGGCACTGAAGGTGACACACCTGCGGCGGCTGAACGTCTTCCATCACGCGTGCAGTCGTGCTATCCTTGGGCATCCTGCTCTACACAGTGGCAGGACAGGCTCACCAGCGAGGAGATTGAAAAGCGAGTCAGACTCACAGCAGACATTGGTGAGCTTTTGCGATGCCAACGTCTTCGATGGCTTGGTCACAGGATGGATTCCAGCCGTCTCCCCAAGCAGGTCCTCTCCGGGGAACTTCCGTCGCGGAGCCCCAGTCGTGGCCACAAGAAGAGATGGCATGATGTCGCTGGATCTGACCTGGCCTTATGGCGATCCCGGAAAGTGACTGGTATCATGTGGCACAAGACAGGGGAGAGTGGAGGAAGTTGTCTCGTCGTCCTCCGGCAGGGCCAGGGAAGAGTTTTCAGTGCATGTGTGGAGGAACATTTCGCCGGGCGAGTGACTTGAAGTGTCACTCCCCACATTGCTCAGCTCGCGCGCTATCATCACACTAGCGATTGGCGTCCAATGTCCAATGTGTGTATGTGTGTATGTGTGTGTGTGTGTATGTGTATGTGTGTGTGTCCATATGGTGCAGTGGTATGTGCAGCAATTTCCAATCGATAGGTTGCGGGTTCGATTCCCGGCGATTATGGTCACACACGTCTTTCTTCTCTTTCTCAGACTATTCCTGACTTTTCTTTCATTGTCCTGGGTTGTTACCAACAGCCAGTGCATGCCAGAGTATGTGATGTGTGTGCAGGGAAAAAAATGAAAAGACCAAAATTAGGGATTCACTGTCCAGAAAAAGTCACTTCAAATAGCTGTATGGTGTAGATCAGGCTGAATAGTGACGGTCAATTCTTCAGCCTTGCAAGCTGTTGAATGGTGCAATCCCAGCACAAGTTGCTATGGCTTCTGCTGTAGCATTGCTATCATTGCCTCCGGCGATGGGCGTCAAAGGTCAAAGGTCGTGTGCGTGTGTGTGTGTCTGTGTCGGGGAGCGTCAAGCCATCCAAACACCTGGCTTTCGGCGACACAATTGCAATCGTGGACGGTGTCGTGGCGGAGCGGCTTCCTTGTGGCAGTGCTGACTTCTCTCGAACTCTCTCTCTCTTCTACTCTCCCCTGTCTCGGGGGCGGCGTGGCCAAGCATTTGGCAGCTGTACACCAGGCCAGGTGTGTGTGTGTGTGTGTGTGCGTGTGTGTGTGTGTGTGTGTGTGTGTGTGTGTGTGTTTTGGAAGTACATGTATTGTACATGTGTAAGCTGTTCCTTGAGCTGTGTGTACAAAAGGAGAATGTGTTGTCTTTGCAGTGGTGCTAATCCTCGTGAGTGTTTTTAGTACAAGTAGTACCATGTGATGTGTTCTCCTGCCTTCTTTATTTTCACCCACTGAGTAAATGTGCCCTTTTAGTCACCCATTTTCACCCCTTTAATTTCCGCTTCGTGAAATGTTAGATTTAATCTCTTACAAACTCGTTGCCTATATTTTGTAGTCTTTGAGTTTTTTCATGATTCCCTGTATAACCCTGCGAGAATGGAACAAAAAGGTTCTCCAGTTTTACTCTGTTTGGATCGTCCTTCTGCCTGGTTCTGCGGCGTCGGTGCATGCATGGATTGACATGAGGGAATATGCATGGTTTAGATTATGTATGACTGCTCCCTTATCCGACCATTTTTCTCATTCGAACCCTCTGGAAATAGCCTGCACATCAAGCGATGTGAGTAGTCGGCGCTCTACTATATTTATTGTCATTTGCTATTTGATATGCTGTATTGTTTCATGGCGAGATATTCTTGTCGGTAGCACTGAAACGACTAGTTGTTAGTGCTCTCTGCTCTGTTGTTTGTTCTTAACTTCAGTGCACTCTGTTCTACTGTGCTGTGTTATGTTTTCTTGCAGGCAATGTTACTGAAGGATGCCTGCAGCCACAAAGCTACTTCTGTTGTTAAGTTCTTGGCAAGCACTGTTGACAAGCACATGCTGAACCATCAAGGGTATTACAGTTTGCCTACGGTATCAACTGTAAGTGTACTGTCAGTGTAAGTGTAATGGACCATCGTTTAGAAGAACGCTGATAACCTTAAAAAAGCTATGGCAGGGCCATTTGTACGGGCAACAAATAAGTAATACATGCCCTGTGTCGGTTGTGTTAGTTTCAAGCCTAGCAGTCACAGTTATATCGGTGCAGGGTGTGTGGCTGGTGTAGTCAGGAGGCTGTCGAGGTGGGGACAGATATGTGACATTGTCGAGGCTGAGGAAGTATTTGTTCTCATGCCAGCATTTGGACATGAGTTTCGAGAACTGGTTGAGACTAGATGTTGATTTATCGTGTTGACTGAGTGAGTACTTTTCTCTAGTGTAGAGGGAATATCACTAGGTGATGTTGATGTACGCACGGCCACCATACTTTACTCTCCAATGGACTTCGTACTGGGTGTTCGATTTCTTGAGGCTCCGGATGTGCCTGGACAATTTCGTGCTGTAGGAATATTTTCGTGTCTACTTGTTGTTATGTGGTTAGCAATAACTTAGCATGGCGTAACTTGAACGATGGCGCCGATGTATCATTTAATACCAGAGCATTCTTCGTAAAACGGCTTTTGTACCGGCCACAGTTGGGCCCTAGCCAGGTGGGCCCAGGCCACACCTTAGGATGTCTGGATGCCGGAGAGTATACGTACGGTTTACTGTGAACCTCAAGGGAGTGATGTAATAAGTAGCAAGGTTGCGAATATGCGCTCTGGCCTGTCAATAAACTCAATGTGCTCCCTCTAGCAAGAACCCAAAGACTACATTTTGTTTAAAGGGGAAGTTAAGGCAAAAATTAAAATTTCACCAGTTGTAGTCTTCGGGGTGCTGAGTCGAATGGTCTTGGTCCGAGAAAGCTGAGACGCTCCCTTCCTACTTGAATCCCAAACGAACTCGCGCACTTCCACCGAAACTGGGTGACTGCGCCCTACGAGATGGGGATTTGTATGCAAAATGTCACTAAAAGCGCCATTTCGTTCTTATAAAAGCACGGATGACCGCGATTGGCCCATATGTTGTAGTCTTTTGGACGCTGAGTCGACTGGTTTTGGTCCGAAAAGGCTGCGATGCAGCGTTCGCCCCTAATTCCCAATCGAACATGGTTGAACAAGCGGTCACGTGCTCCTGCGTACACCAGTCACCTGGTCACCGTGCCTGCAGGGTACAACTTACAGCCTGTTTTGACCTTTTTTGGGTGCAGTCCTGTCACTCGAGTTGAACCTTGGTGTGAAAGTTGTCGCCTGCTGGCGTGGTGACCAGGTGATTTTGGCACCCAGGAGCACGTGACCGCTTCTTCAACCATGTTCGATTGGGAATAAAGGAGGAACGCTGCATCGCAGCCTTTTCGGACCAAAACCAGTCGACTCAGCGTCCAAAAGACTACAACATATGGGCCAATCGCGGTCATCCGTGCTTTTATAAGAACGAAATGGCGCTTTTAGTGACATTTTGCATACAAATCCCCATCTCGTAGGGCGCAGTCACCCAGTTTCGGTGGAAGTGCGCGAGTTCGATTGGGATTCAAGTAGGAAGGGAGCGTCTCAGCTTTCTCGGACCAAGACCATTCGACTCAGCACCCCGGAGACTACAACTAATTTTTGCCTTAACTTCCCCTTTAAATAGTTTGGAAGAAAATGCCATCAATCATATCCTTGTCCTGACTTGCATCGTGCATGCTTGGCTCAAGTTTCGTGACAAAGCAGACTTCTTGAACGTCACTGCCAGTCCAAGAGCGGACCAGATATCGATCTCCGCAGCTACTCTCCACTGAAAAAGGAGAGAAGATTGAGCTGAAAGTAAAGCAACTCTCTCTTTCTCACTTCGAAATAAGGACAAAGCCACGGTTGCGTAAACTGCCTGTGGTTGGTTGAGTGGACACACCTTTCCTTTTCCTAGACTAGACAAAATAAAGTGGTTTCCGGACACCAAAAACACATATAGTGCAGCGCCTGATTGCGAATGAGGTCTTTCCCACCAGGTTCCATTTTTAGCTGCAGTTTTGGGATGGATACAACTTTTCCGCAATCTTTGTACTTGTTCACTGTTAAAATGGTACTTCAAGTAGGGTGTTGAACGAATCACTTGTAATCTTCATGACAGGGAAAATAGTACCAGGTGTGTGCATCATATCCAGTGGCCAGTATGATAGACTACGGTACTGCACAGAACCACCACTCCGGCAACTAGGGACCCACATCAACTCAAAAGTCATTAGAATTGCCTTCTAATGTCATCACTTTCAGTATCTGCTCTGTTTGTTGCATTTCCACTTTCTGGTACTTTGCCTGCAGATACCACACTACGGTAGTGCTCTTCATGCAGCTGTTAGTCGAGGCTCCGTGGATTGTTTACGGTATTTGCTCGATGCCGGTGCGCACACAAACGTAACTGATCTTGTGAGGAAACCAGTTTTATGATAGATATTTGGTTGGCATGGTTCCTGTGTGCACACGTGTATCTGAATGTGCGTGTGAATGGGTGTCTGAATGTGTGTCTGAACATGACGGGAGAGCTTGAAAGCTCAGTCCCCTACGCTATGTGTTTTTGCCTAGCTCATCATGCATGTTAATCGAACTGATAGAACCGTCTTTGGGCTGATGTTAGGGAGGAGAGGTATGCGTTAGAACTGTAGAGGATATCATGTAGAATGAGAGAGCGAGTCACATAATCTGTTAGAGATTGCGTCTCATCCGGGCCTGACTCATTTTTGCCCTCGAACATCGATATCCACAGATCGGTCTGCTCGACGCCAGATTGAATCGGGACATAAACTCTCGACGGCAGCAAAAATCTGCCCTACTGATAACTCCAGCTTCTGGAGACATTCTAGCGAAATAGATCTGGATCTACCGACCGATCTGCAGGCGGATTTCCTACTAACACTTGATGTGGATCCGATATCCGCCGCCGCTATACTCACCTCATTGTCCGTCACCAGGACATGATCAGCTCCCTCCGAACCGGAAGGAGAACCTGAAGACATTTCGACACTGAACGAAGCCACGCTACACGAAAACACAAACTGAAAACTACTAGCGCCAAGAAAAAATGACACAGAATTTGTTCGTGGCGTCTCAATGAATCTTCCGCTTCTTTTTCATTTATCCTATGTTTTTTAACCATAGCATGGGATTCGAACCTGCACTATCGCCCTGCATGCATTATCCCTATACATGATACCAAGAGTAGATAAACAAGAGTGTGCAACTCCGGATTTCTCCGGCACAATCTCCAGATACCCCCGCCAACGGGGGAATTTTTTGTTGACGTCACCATTTTTTTGTTGGTATGCCTATCGGCTCAAAGTGATAATTATTGTTTGGTATACGGGTGTGTTATGCCTATTGTGACATGCATCACACTACATGCCTGAAGGTATAGGGATAACTTGTTAGTCGGTTACAGCTCCGTTCACACCTCAGTTCCTCCAAGGTTCTTGCTGGCCAGCCTGCGAGTTCTTAGCAGCCACTTGACAGATAGATTTACTGAGAAAGCAGCAAAAAGACAGTATATGACGTGTTAGCTGCTCTGGATAGACGGTCCTTTTCTAAGACACTTTCATAGGACACTACTATAGTTTTATGAGTAAAATCAAGAGTATATAAACACCCAAGAGTGTGCAACTCATGATACCCTTTCTATGGGGTACACCGACAGCGAAAACTCACATCATGTGGTGTAGTGTCGTAGTTGTATGTTTCCAGCTCGTTTTTAGCGAGCACTGGAGTAATAAAAAAGCACTCTCTGACAGAAACTCACTGCGGGTATGCAAATCCCCAGCATGATCATTGCAGATATTCGGATTGCGCGCACGCTATCCTTCGTTTGTAAGTAGTGTGAATGTACCTGAGACATGTGATGTGAGTTTTCGCCGTCAAAGACCCCATATGCAGAGTTGTACACTCTTGGGGGCTATAATACTCTTTATACAGTAAAACCTGTAACTACTGACCACCCCTTGGTTCCAGCAAAAGTGGTCTTTAGTGGCAGGTGGTCTTTAGTTAGAGGTTTGCACCTTTCGACCATATATGGATCCCATTATATGATATGTATGTCAAAATGCAGCTAATACTATTTCCCAGGACTTGCGCAATGCCATTCTTATTTCAGATCAAACAACATTTAGACTTATTTAGTAACTTAGAGACAGAGAAAGGGAGAAGACTTATTTTTTTGCTGACGTCAAATTCAGGTGCTACTTCTGAAGCCAGGAGTCAAACGTTCGCCGTGGAAGTTTCATTTTGCGCTGGGCTTCAAATTTGTTCATGCGATCAATCGTACCGATTGTCCTTGTTGTGACTTCTCGAATGCTTGAAAGCGATCCTTCAGCATCAGGACCTTGCAGCGCTGCTTTGTTTCTGGATTCCTTGGTGCCATTCTCGATTCGTTTGTATGACTGGGGTGACAGAGCCGCTCAGTCTTCGTTTCTCCTCCGAGTAGTAACATCGATCAGAGAGCGCTTTCGATGCGCTCTCCAAGACGTTTTCTATCATGTTGGTTCTTGACAGCACTTGAAATTTTGACAGGTGTAGTGCAGTCCACACCGACTCCACAGTCGAAATGACCTGCGTTCATTTGTTCAGCTGCGCTCCTAGCCAGTAGTCTGGAAAATCAGCAAAATTTCAAGAAGGAGCTTCAAGCAACATTTGAGTCTTTTAAAAAGACTCAAATCTTGCTTGAAGCTCCTAGGAGATTTCCTACATCGCGGTCGCTAGCTACGGGTTAAACATCATCTTTGGGACAGAAAAATGCGGTCGCTGGTCACGTTCAGCAGGTAGTCGCTAGTCACAGTGCATTTTGAATGTGAGACAGTCCATTCCTGGCGAAGTGGTCGTTAGTACCAGGCTGGTACTAACGACCACTTCGCCAGGTTTATGCCTGTTTTGGAACTCCACTCTAAATAAAGCCAAACAACAACAACATATACCAGTTTTACCATGAGTGCTGCACGTCACTAGAAGTTTTCTTTTGTTTATCACTGCTTTGACCTATTGCTGTATCACAGAATAGACGAACACCACTTCACGATGCCACTATGAAGAACCAGGCCGACTGCGTTCTTCATCTTCTGCAAGCTGGAGCTAACCCAGATGAAAGAGATCAGGCAGGTTATGGAACAGCCATTTCAATATACTCTGCTAATGCATTTCCTGAAAACTAACTTTATGAAGAAATCAAAGTCTGTGTTGGTAAACTGCTGGAAAGTGCTCAGTGTGCCGGGTGCAGAGCTTTTTCACAATGCTTATTCCAAAATTATGTTACAACAGATCCTGACTACACCCCTCTCTCTTTCATTTAAAACAGTTATTTGAAGATTCACTCTATGCCATAACTCGGAGCATCATGTTGCTTGTGTTGTGATTGCGGTTGGTCGGAGAGCACATTTCTGTGATGAATTGAGGAGACTTCTGGAATAAACAGGCTTAAAGCTGCCTCTTGCCCTCTTTCATATCAATGTATCCTCCACAGACGAACATGTGGCATTCAATGTGTACAATCATCTCTCATAGTGAGCCCTGTTCTTTGTTGGCTACTTGTTGAACATACACTTGTGTTATAGTGGAGAAAGACACCTCTTCACTATGCCAATGAGAGGGGGGCTCATGTGGACTGCATGCGACATCTACTGGACAACAAAGCCAATCCAAACCTACTTGACGAGGTAAGTTGTATCTCACGAAGCATTAACAAACAAAACTGTGAAATTGCTACCCTGTGCTGCAATGATCTTAACCACTGCACAATTCTCCACAGGAAACCTGGGATGTTAAGGGAAGCTACGAGTTGAACTAATTCTTTTTTCCTGATCCAAACCTTTTACGATAATTTTAGTTGAAACATGTGCTTGACCGTTATTGTGATAGGTTGTGTAAATACACCTTCCTCAGGGTGTTCAGACTCCACTGTAGCAACTTAATGTTTTACACAGATATACACCAGTACCTAAAAGAGGTCTCTCGGGTATAGTGTGTAGACTATGTAATCGTGATAGTGGACACACAAGTAGCCATGTTCTTTGTTGTTTAGTTACTGAAAATTCACTGTTGTTCTAATGGAGAAAGGCACCATTTCACTATGTCAGTTGCCAGGGTCATATCGACTGCATGCGGCATCTCTCCACAGCAAAGCCAACCCAAACCTTTCCGATAATTTAAGTTGATGAACATTCTGTTCTACGATTATTGTAATAGGTAGTGTAGAGACTATGTCATGTACAGACAGTATTGTGGACACACCAGTACTTATGATTGAGAACTGCTCTGTCTGATTTGTAAAATATACTGCAGTAATCACACCATCAGAGTTATACCCCAGTTTTCCCCTGAGTGCTGCAAGTCAGTAGAAGTTTTCATTTGTCAATCACTGCTTGTACCTATGGCTGTATCACAGGAAAAACGGACACCACTTCACTATGCCGCTAATAAGAACAAGGCCGACTGCCTTCTTCATCTACTGCAAGCTGGAGCTAACCCAGATCAAGGAGATGAGGCAGGTTATGGAACAGACCTTTCAATATACTTCTGCTAATGCATTTCCTGAAAACTACGAAGAAATCAAAGACTATGTAGGTAAACTGCTGGAAAAGTGCTTAATGTGCCAGGTGCAGAGCTTTCTTTGACCACTTTGTGGTGGGTCTGGTCTATTCACCTCCCACCGCTTTAGGAGCCGCATCTGCATCTTGATCCAAGAGGGTGGCGGCATTCATGCGGATGCGGAAAACTCGGCTTCTTGCCGAGTCTCACGCAAATTGTGATTTTTTCCCGTTTGCGCCTTTCCCTCGAAATGGTTGAAATTCTGGCAAGGAGCTAGTCTGTGAGAAAACAGCAAGTCACAATGGCAAGCAAGGAAGGAACAACAAATGCTTGAAAGTCTCCTACTTTGGCAGTGACACCAGTCCGACCCCTTCGATCTTTCTCCGTAGCCTCTCAATACCCTGGCCGGCAATCTCCATGCCTCAAGCAGTGTGTTGTAGTTAGTGTATGCAGTGGCGTAGCTCGGGCAATATTTGTATGGATACTAGATATCTTTGGCCAACCAAATCTAGATGTAATTGAGGTCCTTGATACAGATAATATATGTTATTCCACTAAAGGCTAGGCGAAATATCTGGCAGTTGCAATATACAATACAGAAGCGTGTAATTGATAGCAAAAGTGACAAGTTAGTACACTGTTTCAGTTTATTATAAATACAGCCCCTGTGCTACTCTTACGAGTCCACAATGGACGAAACAGTTTCGCCCGGAGATTGAGTAAATTACACGTTATGTATGTAGCATTAGCAACAAATACATGATACTGGTTCAGAGTGTTGTGAGCCGTGGCGTACACACAATATTTGGGAGAATGATGCTCCCTGGTTTAGTTGCTGGCGACTAGAAAACAGCTGACCTAGTTGATGGCCAAACTTGTTGCACTCCCCTCCAAACTATGTGCATGTGAAACAAAACCCATCACTCACACATTTGGAAACGGTCAGCCAGGCGTAGGTTTCCAGCCAGCAGCAACTGAACCTTATGTACTGGCCACATACTTTCATCGCCAAGAAGCCCTACCGTATGCATGGACTGGTAAACCTCCTAGGGGTCGAAAATGGTGCTACAGTATCTCAAACATCTCCCTTGATCTTAGCGGTAACTGGCAGCTTCAACCACGCACCAGCCACTGTACTACAACTCCCCCAACTTTCCAGACTGTAATTCAGAGTCGGAGATTCTCGGAGAGTCCACACTTTCGGGCTGCCCTGAAGCGATTTAGCTGCCAGAGTCGACAGAATCGGGCACTGACACAGCGTCAGCGCTCGAAGAGTTGTCTGAACAACCGCTATCATGCCGCTTCGAAGAAGTCACTGAAAACAAATCTCTAATTTTCGTTTCGTGAAAGTGCTTCACACAATCATGTATCTGCCACACTGACAGAACTTGAAATTTGTGGCGAAGAATAAAGAGAAAAAGAAACCAACCTGAAAGCTTTCGAAAAAAAAGACTGACTGATGTGTTAGCTGCTCTGGATAGGCGGTCCTTTTCTAAGACACTTTCACAGGACACTACTATTATTTTTATGAGTATATTCAAGAGTATATAAACACCCAAGGATGTGCAACTCATGATACCCTTTCTATGGGGTACACCGACAGCGAAAACTCACATCATGTGGTGTAGTGTCGTAGTTGTATGTTTCCAGCTCGTTTTTAACGAGCACTGGAGTAATAAAAAAGCACTCTCTGACAGAAACTCACTGCGGGTATGCAAATCCCCCGCATGATCATTCCAGATATTCGGATTGCGCGCACGCTATCCTTCGTTTGTAAGTAGTGTGAATGTACCTGAGACATGTGATGTGAGTTTTCGCCGTCAAAGACCCCATATGCAGAGTTTTACACTCTTGGGGTCTATAATACTCTTTATACAGTAAAACCTGTATCTACTGACCACCCCTTGGTTCCAGCAAAAGTGGTCTTTAGTGGCAGGTGGTCTTTAGTTAGAGGTTTGCACCGTTCGACCATATATGGATCCCATTATATTATGTATGTCAAAATGCAGCTAATACTTTTTCCCAGGCTGGTACTAACGACCACTTCCCCAGGTTTAGGCCTGTTTTGGAACCCCACTCTAAATAAAGCCAAACAACAACAACATACACCAGTTTTACCCTGAGTGCTGCAAGTCACTAGAAGTTTTCTTTTGTTTATCACTGCTTGGACCTATTGCTGTATCACAGGATAAACGGACACCACTTCACTATGCCGGTAATTGGAAAGAGGCCGACTGCGTTCTTCATCTACTGCAAGCCGGAGCTAACCCAGATGAAAGAGATAAGGCAGGTTATGGAACAGCCATTTCAATATACTCTGCTAATGCATTTCCTGAAAACTAACTTTATGAAGAAATCAAAGTTTGTGTTGGTAAACTGCTGGAAAAGTGCTCAGTGTGCGGGGTGCAGAGCCTTTTCACAATGCTTATTTCAACATTATGTTACAACAGATCCTGATTACATTCCTATCTCTTTCATTTAAAACAGTTATGTGAAGAATCACTCTATGCCATACCTCGGAGCATCATGTTGCTTGTGTTGTGAATGCGATTGGTCGGAGAACACAGTTCGGTGATGACTTGAGGAGTCTTCTGGAATCAGCAGGCTCAAAGCTGCCACTTGCCCTCTTTCATATCAATGTATCCTCCACAGACGAACATGTGGCGTTCAATATGTACAATCATCTCTCATAGTGAGCCCTGTTCTTTGTTGGCTACTTGTTGAACATACACTTGTGTTGTAGTGGGGAAAGACACCTCTTCACTGTGCCAGTGAGAAGGGGTATCATGTCGACTGCTGGCGACATCTACTGGACAACAAAGCCAATCCAAACCTACTTGACGAGGTAAGTTGTATCTCACGAAGCATTAACAAACAAAACTGTGAAATTGCTACCCTGTGCTGCAATGATCTTAACCACTGCACAATTCTCCACAGGAAACCTGGGATGTTAAGGGAAGCTACGAGTTGAACTAATTCTTTTTTCCTGATCCAAACCTTTTACGATAATTTTAGTTGTAACATGTGCTTGACCGTTATTGTGATAGGTTGTGTAAATACACCTTCCTCAGGGTGTTCAGACTCCACTGTAGCAACTTCATGTTTTACACAGTTATACACCAGTACCTAAAAGAGGTCTCTCGGGTATAGTGTGTAGACTATGTAATCGTGCCATGTAATATAGTGGACACACATGTAGCCATGTTCTTTGTTGGTTAGTTACTGAAAATTCACTTGTGTTCTAATGGAGAAAGGCACCATTTCACAATGTCAGTGGCCAGGGTCATATCGACTGCATGCGGCATCTCTCGACGGAAAAGCCAACCCAAACCTTTCCGATAATTTAAGTTGATGAACATTCTGTTCTACGATTATTGTGATAGGTAGTGTAGAGACTATGTCATGTACAGTACAGTATTGTGGACACAAAAGTATAGCTGAAAGTCATGCAAAATGCGAGCATGATCACCTATCCAATACCGGTAGTCTATTATATTAATTATTCATATCTTTTTGCATCTTTCCCTCGAGTGGGTCTATTGTTATTAGGCCATTGTCTGTTATAGTCACCACTATAAATATAAATCCAATCCAATCCAATCCAATACTGGAGTCGAAATCGAAGTCGCAAAGCCAGGCTTTTTGTTTCGAAAGCTTTCTAGTGCAAAATAATTGGTGTGAATCTGCACTGCACCGGTGCTGTGCACCACTGTTGCAGTGTGGTTCACACAGCGAATGTGAACAGCGGTTCAAAGAAGAACAAGCCTATCCTCAAGCGTAACAAATGCATAGACTAGATGTCCTACCCAATGCTGGACTAGATGTCCTACATGTACATATCATGTCGATCCTGCGAACTCTTCTTCAGTCAACAGTCTCTACGCGTGAAGTCAGTGCCTGTACACTTAATATGCATGAACAGGCAGTAGTACAGACTACAGTGTATTAATTTTCGACATGTCCTGGGCCTCCTGGCCAAACACGTATGGACACCTGACTGCAAAGTATCCACTCTTGCTACGCGCTTGGTATGTGTATGCGTGTGTGCATGCATGCATGCATGCATGGGTATGTGTGAGTGTGTGTGTGTGTCCATGTGTGCGTCAGGCGAAATTACTGGTCAGTCGGCGACACACATTTTTCACAAAAATTTGCGTTTCACCTGCTGGGAGAGTATGCGTGTACTCGAGTCTCATCCTGAGCACGTTTTTTTTCTTCTTTTTTCAGGTCCAGTATAGCTGTATTTTCATTGCAAAGCCGTCCTCGATTGTTGTGTTCGTTGTTCAAACGAAGTGGACGTTCAATCATGAAGGCAGAGGACATAGGAGCCTGATTGGAGTTTCTTGTGGCATAGGACGGCCACACAGAGACACTTTGGGATTTTCTGAATATATAATACCGTACGCACGATGCTGAGATCAATTTGTGCGATATCAAATTGTTTGTGATCTACCACATCGAGCAGAACGGGATCCAAACACAAGCTTACCGACGGTTAGGCTGGCGACCTGACTGGACAAATGATCCCTGGCTTCACCAGACGCCAGAAGTCGGACACCACGTCCTTTGCCGCGACGTCCATCTCCAAAAAGAACTCCATCTTCGTCGTGAAAAGGCTTGAAATACTCAATATTCAACCGAGATTCGCGGTCTCACCCTTTCTCAGATCGAATCATTTTTTGTTGTAGCAGTTGCAGGGCAGATCCCCGCCACTACTTCAACAGGCGATGGCTCCAAAGCATGCCTGGAACAAGCCATATCGAGGTTGCAAGCCACCCCTCTCAGCAAAAAATGCGAAGAAATTCGAAATTTCAATGGTGGAAGATATACTATGAAGAGAATTTCAAAAAGTATGTTTCGCGGAGCGATCGCTCAACCTACGTCATTAAAACGTTGCAGGATGGTTCAGATGTACATGCTAGGCATGGAACCACAGGCGATGATGCCATAGCTGACACACAGAGTAACACACACAGCAGATTCGTGTGCACAGATACTAAATTAGTGGACGTCGTCATCTTCTTCCCGCTGATCTCGAATGTGCTATGACGTGCTATTTCGCCTGACGTACACGTGTGCGTTCGTTGTGTATGGTGTACGAGGGCACACACGTGGGACAGGCCCCGCAGGTCAGCAGCAAACACCCTTGTACTCCATGTTAGACATTCTTCAGTTAGCGAGCACCCCTCTAAACACCTGATAAGTATTGATTAGTCAACACAATAACACATGCAATTGAGTGCATTGCAATCCACGCGGTTACATCTACTGACTTTGTACATTTACGATTTCGGTACTGCCTGCAAATCAGACAGGTAGGCATAGTAGGATGGTCTAGGATCTTGAATGTGAAGTAGAGGATACCCGATTCAAATTCTGCTTGGAAGGCGAGGGATTTTTACAGCCCTGCTGCAACCTGCAGGTAGTTGGTCCTCGCACGTGGGAAACATGGATACAGTGAATGGGATTTTTGGTCTTTGTCCACTTTGTGGTGGGTCTGATCTACTTACGCCCAACTGCCTTATATTAGGAGCTGCATATTATATTCTGCTCTTTAATCCTTGCGGGGGTAGTGTTCGTACGCATGCGGAAAACTCAGTTTGGCGCAGTCTCACACGAACCGTGTCTTTTTGTCTCACAACTGTATTTTATTCTTGTCGGAGACAAGATAATAATTATTATTATTGATAGAAATACAACCAATCGACATTCAACAGACACTGATTTGTTTTGACAGAAACGTTTTCCTCCAGAATTGATCAGTGACTACTTCTGGTGTGTGTTTTACATGACACAAGATATTATCTTCTTACAATTGAATCCTGTTCCATCTTTTTTGGTGTCTATTTTTAACATGTTCCCTGTTCCAGAATGGCGACACTCCATTGGACATTGCGGCAAAGAAGGATACACTGCATCTTGTGAAGTGTCTAGTCCCCTACATACTGCGTGAGAAAACAAAGCATCAGGTAAGACAGCAGCGCTTTTATAGTAACTTTAGTTTTTCAGAGCCTTTGCTGTTCTTTTGCAGATATCTGTGGAAAGTTACAGACAGCATGTTCCAGTTAAAAAGGTAGCAGGGTTTGCACTGGTTGGGAGCAATTTCCCTAGGTGGGATGACCATTGTACCTGGGTGGAATGACCACTACCCCTGGGTAAGATGACCACTGTCCTTGGGTGGGATCACCCCTGGCTCTGGGCAGGTTAACGACTGCCCCTGGATGGGATCATCACTGTCCCTGGGTGGGATGACCATTGTCCCTGGATGGGGTGACCACTGTTCCTGGGCGGAGTGACCATTATCCCTGGGTGGAGTGACCATTGTCCCTGGGTGGGGTGACCGCTGTCCTTGGGTGGGATCGCCACTGCCTCTGAGTGTCCATGTGTGTGTGTCCATGCGTGTACGTGTGTGTGTGTGTCCCTATGTGTTTGTGTTTATGTGTGTGCATGTGTGTTTATGTGTGTGTTTATGTGTGTGTGCATGTGTGTGTATGCGTATATCCACGTGTGTGTTTATGTGTGTGTGTATGCGTGTATCCACGTGTGTGTTTATGTGTGTGTTTGTGTTTGTGTGTGTGTGTGTGTGTGTTTGTATGTGTGTGTGTGTGTGTGTGTGTGTGCACGTGTGCACGAGTGTGTGTGTGTGTGTTCGAGCTTGCACGCATGTGTGTGTATGTTTGTGTATGTTTGTGTGCATGTGTGTGTGTGTGTTTGTGTGTGTTTGTTTACTTCCTATGCCCAGTGTCTGTCACTATTTGTACAAGCTTGGGAAAAGTCTGCTGACACTTGCATACCGGCAATACAGGTGAAGTGAACTTGTGTAATTCCCATGCAGCTTGACATAGCATAGAGATCCACACTGGTTTGGCAGGGGACCTGAAATTGAGCAGGGTCATGCCATATATTGGATGGAGAGTACCAGGACACAATAGTTGAAAAAGAAGGAACAAAAATGTTACCGGAACAGAACATGATAATTGTATGCAGAAGATGACTCCACAAATCACTACATACATAGTAGTGGAGGAAACATAATCTCCTCCCCCTACCCCCTCAGGGCCATGAACACCATGCAATAATTCCACCATCCTTCCAATTTACCCCCTACGGACCCACCCCTACCCCACCTAAACTTGACTGGATGTATGTCCATCATAACAGGTATGTATCCTGAATACGACTTCTCGGCTCTTTTTTGAACTTCTGTAATAGGACGGCATCTTGGATTGCATAGTTGGTGTGCACATTAGTCAAGAAGACATGGATGCTTGGACTGAGTTGCTCAGGAGACTATCTAAACAACGTTTATTGGCGCTCACCCAGGTAAGTGAGTGATTGTATCTGCAGTCGCCAAAAGGCAGTTTGACTGGTGTATGTACAGCGCACCTAGAATTATTCCACTGTCCCCATCGATCCGCAACAACTTTCCTTTTCTCTTCCATTCTCATCACAACACCTTGTTCTAGCTAATGACTTTCCTAAAAATACTGCAAAACAGCGCCACATTGAAACAGCGCCACATTGAAGACTCAAGGAATGCATCACACTGAGGTCAAGTAGTCCTGTTAGACTGTTAACTGTAGACTGCTTTCTGGCATAAAAACGTCAGTGCATGCCCTTAGCCATCTGTCTCTTCTTTCCTGGATCATTGTATCTCTGGTGAGTCGACCAAATGTTCTCACAATGGAGCTGGTGAAATTTCAGAAGGTATTTCAATAGCAGGTGTGTGTGTGTGTGTGTGTGTGTGTGTGTGTGTGTGTGTGTGTGTGTGTGTGTGTGTGCATGTGTGTGTGTATGTGTGAGCGCGTGCATGTGTGTGTGTGTGTGTGTGTGTGTGTGCATGTGTGCGCGTGTATGTATGTGTGTGTGTGTGCGTGCGCGTGTGCGTGCAATGGAACTCAGGAAGCCATAACCACTCGGAAACAACTACCTCCACTGCTTCTGGTGAGTTCAGGGCCAATGTTGTGAGTAGTGACAGTACTCCCACACCCTCTGTAACCCACATAGTTTCTGGACGTCATCGAGGTGCATTTCCTTTCTTGATCCATGTAGTCACAGAAAGTGGAGGGGAGACAGAGCAACAGAAATAGGGAGGGAAAGCGAAAGAGAGAATAAGAGAGAGATAGATAGATGGAAAGAGAGAGAGAGAGAGAGAGAGAGAAGAGAGAGAGAGAGAGAGAGAGAGAGAGAGAGAGGGAGAGAGAGAGAGGCATGTGAGCTACAAGCCCAGCCCCGTACTTGTGCATCATCCAAGATTTGTGATCACTGGTGGAGTCTGATAATTTCATGAGTGGATCATTCACGCCTGCAATTTTGCACATACACAATTGATCTGCCAACTTATGATCCGGATAACGACAGAAGGGGAAGGATGGCAACCTCTAACCCCACCACCACCACAACAACAACCATACCTTACTCCATGCGACGGCGCACAGAAGTGATATGGGCCTCAACCAGCTTTGGGTCAAAATTTCAAAATTCCTTTTTGGTTAGAAATTTGTTGAAACACATCTACTGAAGGACCTCAGCCTAGAAAAAGTTCAATATTCCTACAGTAGACTTGTACGCCCAAGAACATGGCGCCAAAGAGCGTCCAGGCTGGAAATCTAGGAACGCCCCAGCCTGGATTTAAGAACGAACTCCAAGATTTTTAAGAACGCGACATTTTTTGGTATTGCACCTTTCTGTAGCAGAATGGTAATGCTACCGGCTTTCCGGAGACGTGATATTTGAGCGCCGGTTTGTTTTGCAAGCGGATTGAACCTTCATGATCTTGTCCGAGTACGTACACGAAAAACAAGTCCGCAACCACAAACTCTTGTCGGGTCCTCGCGAAAACATCACCCAGTGCAGCGCTACATACTACACGTGCATGTAAAGTGTACAACCGGTACATGTAGCGCAAAGTGCATTGTACATGAGCGTCACGGGTCATGTTGGACGCTAACAATGCGAAATAAGAACGTAGCCTGGGGCGCTGAAAAATAAGAACTTTGCTAGGCTGGCCCTCTGAAACCGCGTTCTTGGGCTACTGTATTCAAAACGGGTGTATACACCAATATAAAAGATGTACTCCAAATTGGTGCAATGTATGTATACGATGTATGTGTACAATGAATATTCAGCATTCTAAGTTGGGTAGGCAGCTTGAATACCTTTGAAATAGTGCAGTAAGCAGCTATAATGACAAAGAATAGCTGATGAGTGCGGAGAAATGATCGACATATTCGCAGCTGCACCCTGCGTGGAGTCGTTCCGCAATCTCGTCTTCCTTTTCATCCTCCACAGCTGAGGAAACGACGTCGCTGCCGTCACTAGCCCCAGACTCAGAATTTATCTCAGGTGACAACTCCTCATCTTCCGACTCTCGACAAGTCATCGGCCACCTTGAGCCGCATCGCAGCAGGAGCCAAAGAACGTCGAATCTCTGAACTTCAGCGGCTACTTCAGCATCCACTCCCCACCAGGCTCGAGCTAGCTGTACACCATGACTGCCGTGTGTGCTCTGCGAACAGCTCTGGCGTCCGCAGCCATCACAACAAGATCAAGGAACACTGAAGTCGACACTCGACACCACTTCTTCAAAATATATTACTTCAAGCAAGGAGTTCAGCGTGATCAAAAAATTCATTGAACGTCACAAATCGACCTTTTTCTCGAAAAAAATTACGAAACCTCTAAGGGTCGTTTTCGCTGACTGCGGCTCATTATGTTCTTTTATATGCACATTTATGCTGACCTTTCATACAAACTTCCAGTCAACTTGCCCATCATGCTGGCGGCTTATACTGGGTATATAAACCTCATACAAACCCCATACAAACCCCATATAGACCGCCACCATAGAAACAGGCAGAAGTTGACGGTCAGTTTGTATGAAGGTCAGCATAAGTATAATACATCCCACTAGTACGCTTGTGCGTGAAATATAAACCATCATTCAAACCCCCGGCTTCGCCTCGGTTTGCATGTCAGTTTATATTTCACGTACAAGCGTACTGTTCGGTTGTATTATAATTATACGTATACAGCAGACGTGCTGAAAGATCAAACTGCATGCGTGTAATACATTGTCTGGATAATACTTCAAGTAGTACTCCCGGATTACAAGCATTTGAAGCCAGCTAACCCATAATCAATACAAAGATAACCAAGGATTACTTCGAAGTGTCTTCGTTGTTTCCTGTACTTGGACTCTAACCCAGGGTTTTGTTTGTGGCCAAAACACTGTTTTTTAATCATACCGGTGCAAGTATTTTTTACACATTTTGATTTTGAATTCGTGTGACTAAACAGAACATTCTGAACGTTAGTTCACAGCTAAGGCTTTACCTGAATTGCCCACGTTCAAGTATTCGTAAAGTGAGACTCTGATTTAGCCTGTTACAAGTATACATTGGCGCGCCTGGTTGTGATGAAGCCGAGACCCAAGGTCGGCAGAGCATCCCAGACCACGCCACCACTCCCCTTATTCATGGCTCACACATGACGGGTTTACGTGGCTCTAGTAAAAAAACCAAAAAAAACATGATTGTCTAAAGTTGAGAGAAATTGAGTGTAGATGAGTATCTGTGGGTCCCTATAACGGGTCTGCTCCCTATAGCAGGGCCGGTTTGACCAAAAAAGGAAGTCATGAAAGTGCACACATGACGTCTTGACTGGGTCCTCTGTGTGCAAGGGGTCCATGACCTTGTATGACAGAAATGGAAGAACCAGGAAATCCTCTATGACCCCATGACCTCGGGACTCATTTTTGCACCCACACAAAAACAGGAAACGGAAGGAACTATTGATCTTGTGAAAGAGACGAGGGATGGGTTATGGGGTCCGGCGGATTCTGCCGGCAGAAAAATTGGCAGAATTCGGTACTTTTTCTGGTAAGTGTCGTGCATGTTTGGCATGTGGAAAAAAGAAATGGAGCAGAATTCGAGGAATTGCCCGCCAAAAGGTTTGTATGGTTCTGCCAATTTCACTGCTTTTCGAGCAGAATCTGCCACCTATTCGAGCAGAATCCGTCGGTTCCTAATGGGTTGTACCAAGAGTACATAAACACTGTTTATGTACTCTTGGTTATACTGAAGCAAAGGTGGACGAACAGGGGGAGAGCATGATGGAGGTGGAGGGCAGTGGAATTGCAGTAGTGAAAACGATCAGGGTAAAATCAAAGACAAGAGATCGAAATGCAGAAATGTTTTGGGCAGGCCTAGATGAGTGTATACTAGTTTGCAAGGCCAGAGCTCTGAACAAAGCATGGGTAGTAGTAGTAGTAGTAGTTGAAATTTGTGTATCAAATGTGCCCTGCTTTTTTCTTTGCTCTTTTCTCTTTCGTACTTGACTTGTGTTTGTAGAAAGTTTCACTGAACAGAATCCGCCGGAAAGCTAACCAGCAATCTCCACTGGTTGTTCGACTTCTGGGTCACCCTGGCGGAGGAAAGTCATCCCTTCTGGAATCGATTCTTCACCGTCGCCGATTCTTTGGCAAAGTCAAGAATTTCTTCCGCGGTGACCAATCCGACAAGATACCGGCCTCCAGGACACGAGGTATGCGACGTTACGTGGATGCCTACGGTACGATATACCTCGACCTTGGAGGTCAGTATCGATTCATGTCACAACATCAGCGACTGACGAAATTCTCCGACGTCTGGGCTCTCAATCTGCTCACAGTGTCGGGCATGGAGTCCATCGTGAACATGAGACGCTGGATCCGCACCTGGGCAGATTTCATCGCCTGCAGCTGCGCAGAGAGCACATCCACTCGCAACAAAGCTCTTATTGTTGTGACACGCCGGGACCAACTCTCCAAGGAGCAAATGACCGCCATTGAGAAAGAGTGTGCAACGCTGCAGAAAATCTTAGGCGTACATCTGGAATTCCTGGATGAGCCGATCCCATTCGTCAATGCCATCAATGAGACGTGTGAAGGTGTGGCTGCATTGAGAGAATTGATCCAACGACACAAGGAAAAGGTGCAACAAGTGAGTTTGACAACGTTCAAAAATCATAATCATCAACGGTAGCTGTTATTTTATGTGGTGTTCTCTTTTGTCTATCATTTTAAACAGTTTGATGCTTTGCAAGTCTAACCCTGATCCCCTCCCCTCAACAAACACCCCTCCCCAACTCTCCTTACCCACCTCTCCCACTCTCTCTCACTCTCTCCTCTCTCTCTCTCTCTCTCTCTCTCTCTCTCTCTCTCTCTCTCTCTCTCTCTCACTCTCTCACCTTTCTCATAGTGTTTTCATCTTGTTTCCAATGCCATGTTCTCAATAGGCATCTGGACCTGATTCGGAGGTTGTTGCGTCCATTTCGGAGGCACACCTGGAGAATGTTCGTGATCAATGCAGAGACAGTCCTGCTATCAGCACCGACCAGTTTATGGAATTCCTGGCTGGAGCAATTGCTCGCTTTGATTACAACTGCGGTGACTCTTCAATACTAGTTGAAGCGCTGAAGGAAGTCCTGGATGTCAACATGGAGCTGTTCAACCTCCATCAGAAAGCGCTGGTAAGTAACTTTGCTGCTCCCAGTACTTTCTTCTTAAGTTTGAGAAATCCTTTTGGAACCCGCAATATTCTGCCCGACGTGTAATGTCCAGGGTGCAACAAAATCGTGTGGAAGTACTACCGTATTTCCCCGTAAGTTAGTTCTCCCCAATGACTTAGTACCCTCCTATAAAATATACACTTTCCACTGCCGAGGTTATTACCCCGAAAGACAGTCCCCCCGAAAGATAGTAAGCTCGTACCCGTCCTACATGTACAGACACCGTCCAGTACATACATCATATGCACGGACACTAGAGTTGCGCAGGCTTCTCACTGCGTGTCATTTACCCCCGATAAAAAAGTACTCCCCGAAAGATAGTACCACCCCCGAAAGTTAGTACTCATGTGGCTGCTAAGTTCGAAAGTTAGTACGTACTAACTTACGGGGACATACGTTAATAGCCTATGGTCATAATCAGTGTCAGTTGGGGCAGCTTCAAAGAGTATTCTACGCAAGTGAGGGAAGAGCAATATACAGAATAACACAGGCAACGGTAGGCTGTTTTGTACAGGGAAATTATCAGGCAGCAATAGGCTATCATCACTTGATCTGTTTCATTCAGATCGTGTCCACTATCGTTGCTGTAAGAGCAAATCTGTACGGGCATATCAAGTGCATTTGCAGATTTTTGTGTTTCTCTTGCAATGGTTGTACACGTATACATGGTACATGAAACATGGTATGTATTTGCCACATTTGCCAGAGTATAATGCGCACCAACTCCTTTGATCAACGTGTTGGCAATTCAAGGTATATCCGCAGTATGATGGGCGGCCTAGATTTGAGGAAATTATCGATTTTAAAACGAAGTAGTGGTAGCGACTTTGGCAATGATTTGTTTGGAAAGGGTTTGCTCCCCACTCTGGAGATCGCGCTTTTCCGCCGACTTGACTTGACACTTGACTGATTTACTACTACCATCCAGTGCACACGAAAAGTCCATTGAACCTTCCAGTATCTATTAAGACTATTATAAAGACAGTATCACAGAATCTTCACTAGTTGAGGTAATGGATAACAGCATTATAGAGGGACCATTAGCAAAATTATCACAGCATTATTTCGTGTAGCTTTTTCTAATGCATGAGCTACTTATGTGGTCTCGTACCCATCATGCATGTGCAGTTTAGCTGACAGTAGACATCATTATATGTATGAATATGGCTTGCCCCGGGTCAGCGGTGGCAAACTTCGAAAGCATTGCTGCATTGTTGCAATGCACCAATTTTCGAAGTTCGTGCATTCTCATAGTGCACACCTGCGATTTGGGGCCTGAAATAGCTCATCTAAAGTGTGCACTATACTCCAGCACTACAGCATGTGTGATTGTGTGTATGTCACTGTATATGTATATGTGTGTATATGTGTGTATGTGTGCATGTATGTGGGCATGCGTGTATGTGTGCATATGTGTGTATGTGTGCATGTATGTACGTGGGGTATCTATGTGTATTCACTACAGGTATTCTATTTTCCGGATGCCAAGCTGGTGGTCGTTCAACCTCTATGGTTGATGAGTGACATCACAGGAAAATTCTATTCGCCAAAGTCATTTCCTCCACCGATAATTACCTGTGATGAGTTTGGATTCGCTTCGCACAGCCATGTCATTGAAGTACTGGCCAAAGATTCGCCGGTGCGTGGTGAAGACGCTCTCGACATAGCCGTACGCCTAGGTATGTGTCATGTAACCGAGGATGGTGAGCAAGTCATGATTCTTCCTGCACAGGCTGAATCACGCACTAGTCTGCACTGGGAGAAAGCCAACCCCGACCAGCACATCTACTACACTGGTCGCCGTCTCTACTGTAAGTCTGGTGTCGCTATCAGCGCAGCGTTGATGCCCACCATACAAATGTCACTCGTCAACTCCTTCACCAACAGGACACGCACGTTTCCTGTCTGGCAGGGAGGTGTTCGTGTTTCGCTACCTCAGTACGTGAACACGGACACACTGGTGGAGATCCCACACGGTCAACTCGCGCTCAACATCATAACCAGAGGGCCCGACCAGCGTAGCGTGACTTCTCAGCAGGAAACTATCTGGGATCACATCTCTGCTCTTCCTCGCCAACAATCTCCTGGTTCTGACATGTCAACGGCGTTCGTCGATGATGAGTGCCTGCCGAGTAGCGATCTTCTGCGACAGCGGGATCAGCAAGGAGACCTGGATGCTACCATGGAGTTCCTTTCCAGTGAGCGACTGCGTGCTCAGTTTGTCATGCCTGATGAGCGGGTGCCCGACGCAAGAAAATATCATCCGTATGCTGTGTCTGCAAGCTGCTGTAATGCAGGTCAGTGGCACTGTGTGTCATGCCTTGGTATGGGCGTGTGTGTGTGTGTGTGTGTGTGTGTGTGTGTGTGTGTGTGTGTGTGTGTGTGTGTGCGTGTGTGTGTGCGTGAGTGCGTGCGTGTGTGTGTGGGAGGGGGGGGGGGGGTGATTGACTGGCCAGAGAAAAGCCACTTCAATGAGCTGTGTGGTGGATACCAAGTAAAATTAGTGGCGGTCAATTCATCAGCCTTGCAACCTGTTGAATGGTGTAATCCCAACCCAAGTTGCTATGACTAACATAGCTGTTCGCTATCATCGCTTCCGCGATGGGCAAGTCTGAGGTCCGAGGTCTGAGGTGTGTATGTTTATGTGTATGTGTGTGTATGTTTGTGTGTGGGTGGTTGTGACTGTTTCTCTGCATGTCTATTTGTGTCTCTGTTTGTCTGTATAGTCATATGAAATGACGTGCATAAAGTCTTTTTTAAAGGTTTTACAGTAAGGAAGAAAGGATCAATAAACTACAAATTACGCTATAATGTCCACTAACACCACCAGTTACTAAACAATCAGCTCATGCGATAACATTGCACGACACTGACCCACGGTACTGACGTTCTACAACTAACTGGCTAACAGCTCTAGCACATCTTGGCTCTCCATCCGAGTCCATTAAAGGTTTTATGACAACATTTTGGTCATAGCCCGGATTGTATTTTTGTTCCACTCGTATTTCCTTGTGTAGATACGGTCGAGGAACGTCGCAGAGCTGCTCGTCTCTGCTCAGCCTTCTATCAGCATCGCATTCTTCTACGCCCCGACTTTCCATTGCACGACTGTCTTCTCAAACTGATAGAATGTGGACAGGTGAATATATCCTTCTTGGACGACGTGGACGAATGTCTGAGGAACTGCCAGACCAAGATGGCTACTGATCTGTTTCGTGGGTCGATTTCCGACTTGCCTGACAGTGTGGTGCTAACCCTAGTGGATGAAATCCTTCCCAAGATAGCCAGTGCCAACGATCTGTATCAGGCAATGCTGGAATGTCCAGGTCGGGTCCTCTGTACTGTCTGCCCTAGTGATAGCCACTCCATGACTGGTAGGTGGTTGTCTTGCATTGATACATGTACTCGTGTTGTGTGTGCATATGTGGATGTGCATGTGTGGATGTGCATGTGTGGATGTGCATGTGTGGGTTCGCGCACACATGTGTGTGTGCATGCTGCGTATGTGTACCTCATTTTCCAGAGTATAAGGGGCACTCTAAACAACAGCAATCCACCCAAAACAAAATCTGTTTGGCTTATACAACGATGGCCAAATTGATGGTGATAATTAATGGGGTTGGTTGGTGGTATTTTGTGACAAAAGGTTGCCGTGCAGTTTATACTCCAGTGTGGCATACTCCAGAAAATACGGTATGCCTGTATTTCTGTACGCAGGCGTGGCTGGGTGTGCGTGGGTGGGGGTACGTGGGTGGAGGTGCGTGGGCGGGGTGCGTGAGTGGATATAGAGATGGATGTGGATGTGTGTTGGTGCATAGCTGTATAGTCGCAAGTCTGCCTTTTAACTGCTGTTTTGCCTGGTCCAGGGGATCTGATCTGAATCCGGATTGGCTAGTCAAACAAGCCACCTGGTGTGCATGTCTGAAGCATGTGTTCTTTGTTTACTGGCAATCCTGTGTGGTTACTGTGGTGATGGATGATGATGTAATGCCAGTGAGTGATGATGTCATTTCTTCTGACCATGAACTCATCCCTCTTACCACGGTAAAGCGGTAAAGTTGTGCGGTCTTGAAACTTTCTTGTTTTGAAAGAATTGAACTGGTTCCCAAAGGGAGACGTCTGGGATTCCATCTCCCCAATTGAATAGTGTAGTACCCAAAACCCATGCACATACGCTCACAGTCTGATTTACAGTGATTTACGTGTGTGTGTGTGTGTGTGTGTGTGTGTGTGTGTGTGTGTGTGTGTGTGTGTGTGTGTGTGTGTGTGTGTGCGTGCGTGCGTGCGTGCGTGCGTGCGTGCGTGCGTGCGTGCGTGCGTGCGTGCGTGCGTGCGTGCGTGCGTGCGTGCGTGTGCGTGCGTGCGTGTGCGTGTGCGTGCGTGTGGGTGTGCGTGCCTGCTTGCCTGCCTGCATGTGTGCGTGCGCGTGCGCGTGCTGGTAGTGAAACTAGCAAAATGTAATCTCTAGTGAGAGGTTTTCACCTGACAGTACATGTGTGTGCTTTCATGCTGTGCCAATCTGACTGCAGCTGCTTCTGATGACGTCGCCAGACCAGCAACTGAGGAGTACAGTACGTTTTTCCTGTCTTATTTTCTATAGGATATTTCATTATTCTTGGTGTGACTGTGCTCTGGATATGACCCACAACAAGATGCAATTATGCTCTGTTGCTCTGTAGTTCTCTATGCAGATAACAGTAGATTGGTATATTTGCCTGGATTGTGTTCTGTGCTGTATTCCCCTAGATCCCTGGGTCCATCCAGATTTCTGCCTGGACAAGTACCGAAGATGGATAATCTCACTGAACTCCAGAGCGTTCCGCGACAAAGCCATAGCACGGATGCTTCTTGCAGACAACCTGGATATCAGGCACTTCATTGAGCTAGAGAGACGTGAGGGCTCAAATGTACACAATGAGGAACTGCTGCAGCACCTGCAGGGGTCTGGGCGTGCATCGTTCATCATCTTCTTGGACATCATCACAGACATGAACTCGCTCTTCGCATTCAAGCGTACTGAGTTTGAGGCTCTCCTTGATCGGCCATGATGCCTCTGTTGTCATGACTACCCAGGTATGCCAAATGCATTATAACTGGACTTTGCTTTGAGTTCCGAAAGCGATTCATCCCGTATTGCTCTACAGTCAGACTACACATAACCGCACACATCCGTTTTCCACACAAATATCCGGATAGGCGAGGGAACCGGAAAATCGAACACACATACTGTATGTATGCATGGGATATGCTGTAAATCGGTAACCAGCGATTTTCTTCCGGATGGCGAAGGATCCGGATAAAAGAGGACCGGATAAGCGAGGTCTGACTGTATATCTACTGTTGTGGACATGGAAATCCAGTCGGAGGTCAAGCGGCACCATGACAGCCGCTAGTGCATGTGCACTGCTATCAACACGTGCACTGCATGCACACAACTTTCTGTACGCACTGAGGGTGGCGGCCCCCGTCATTTCACTGGATCTCCATGTCAATGACAGTATAATTATACGGAATGTATGGCTCGTACTACAAGCGGAGCTGCTATGTACATGTATTTGCGCAAAGTGCTCGATACCGCCAGGGCAGGGACAAATCACTCATGTCATGCCCAAAGCTATGCACAAGATGTTACGTTATTAGCGTCTGGCATAGCCGGGGTCCACACCAAATTATGACATAATATGATTGTGTGTGCCATGCATTCGTTCACATGTCACTTGACACGCCATGCCTGGCATGCTATCCCATACAAACCTCATACCGTACTGCTAATGAGAGCTGGCCAGCATTCATGCACACTTGAAATAGGGCTTTTAACGGCAGTATGATAATGCGACACAACTTTGTAGATTGTGTATGCATGAGATGTGTATCAGGGGAATGCATGCTAGGCAATAGTAGTAATAATAATAATAATAAAACAGGTCGCGTAATGAAGCAGCATAACGATAGATGTGCAAAGTCATGATGCCTGGTCCACTTCTGTCCTGGGTTCACTACGCCGTGCATTGTAGCCGCGGGCAAAACTAGCCCAGGCTGGGAGTTCCCTCCATGATTGCTTCTCCAAAGCGCGCATTCTGAGCCCACTCAGATCGGTCATGGTCTTCAGTGGCATGTCTCTGGCAGCGGCGCTTGCCTTGACTGCCGTGGCCAGGTTCGATTTTGGGCGTCCACGCACAATAGTGCTGGTTTGAATCTCATGTTATGTTCGGAAACAGTTTTAAAAAGGGAAAGAAAAAAGCAGAAAAGAAGCTAAGACCATAGCGTGAAACGGGACAGCTGCCAAGCTCAGGGCCCTCACTATGCTTCGTTTTTACCTACGTCCTCATGCATGTTATTCGAACCTCTAGGATCACCTAGGCAATACGGTTATCGGATACATGTGGCTCGCTGCGGGCTAATAACCCCAAGCACTGCTCAACCAAACCAGCCATCACAAAGTTCTGAGCATAAAATTGCTCTGGACGGGGAAGCCATTCACAGCACTTCACGTTCCAAACACCGGCATCGTCTCCCTGGACATTGCGGCTCCCTAACTTACTGGCAATCAAACACCTTTGAAATACCACACCTCCAGGTTGTGTCTTTCTTGCGTTGGTCCAATACAGGCGATGTTTCTCTGGGATCTTTCGCTACTGCTGACTTCCAGTTGTCCATTAGACGTGTATCGATCGTCTCCACTTGGACTTACCCTGTGAAGTATAGGTCGAGGATGGATTGATGATAAGCTGATGTATTATGATTTTCTGCATGTGGTTTATAGCCGCGTTTCAACAGACGTTTCTCCAGCTCGTTCTCTTGAAATGGTTTCACTGTCCTTAATCTCTTCCTGATGAGGAAGTATTTCCGGCAAAATGTATTCTGTTTTCTCTGGCAAGTGCCACAGTTGTGCATTGCTGTTCACTGTCCACCAGTTCATGATGATGATGATGATGATGATGTTATGTCCATAGTGATGATGTCATGCACTAATCCATGCTTTCATGCCCATAGTGATGATGTAATGCCCCATAGTGATGATGTCATGCCCACATCGTTGAGCAATGTACACTCCTTATCTATTTTACTCTATTCAAATCCCAATTGCAGCTCTACATTTTGTATTCACTCACTCTTGTCTTGTATTACCAGCTCAGTCCAGTGGACAGTGAGCACTCTGAACAGCCTGATGATGCACTCATGCACTCATGCACATAGACATTTGTACTTATACCTATGTATGTTTTCTTGGTGAGGACCGCTTCCATTGTGTACTTATACCTATGTATGTTCTTGGTGAGGACCGCTTCCATTGTGTACTTATACCTATGTATTTAGCACATAGACACCTGTACTTCCACTCATGTATTTTGCATACCTAGTGTTTCATCCCTCCGCCCTTCTGTTGATTCCCTACTATCCCCCTTGGCCGCTGATGAGCCCTGGGATTGATATTCTACCGGTATGTCGCTGACAGTTGATTTTATATTATTGGCCGAGTGAATTCAGGAGAGCCAGTCTGTATCTTCTGTTAGCTCTGTTAAATAGTCATTGCCTTTACCACATTCTCCTGGACTTATGTAGTGCCGGCCCAATGAAATCATCCTGTCGTGGGAGTCAAGTTTGCACCCTGCTCCAGTGAATAATTATACCAACGGTTGGCAGGTCTGACTAGGGTTGCAAGGCACCTGACGTGACATTGGCTAGCTTGATGGGATCCAGTTCATTGATCAACACTTTCCTTGTACATATAGCTCAATCATGCGTGTAGCCTGGGGTGGGGGGGGGGGGGAGGTGTCTCGGCATGAAAATACAATGATTTGAACGTGGTCACTCTAAAAAATAGAATTCTTTATCAGATACAACCAGGGAGTTGTCAAATACCGGTATTTGACAACTCCCTGGTTACAACCTACTCTGGACAAATGAATGGGAGAGAGCACAAACGAACTCCACAGCGGGCCTGAGGGTAGGGCCTCCACGGTGGAACCTGCGCTGGTCAGGCACACCAACAATGAAGCAACCTCTGGTCTCAGCAGTTTAGCACTGCCGTGTAGAGAACACGGAGTTGGTTGGTTGGTTTTTCATTATTTCAGCTTGTTCCCTCAACAGTGAAAAAAGTCCAAACATCAAGACTACATGAGGGATGAACGAGAGAGAAAAGTATCCATGAACCAGTACAGTAGCGGGACAAGGCATGACCAAAAATGGCAAGTGTGTCGGTAGACAACAGTAGTGACGGTACATGGGGCTAACAGCTACCTGTTTGGGAAACGAGGACGGAAATTATTTTACAAATTATGCTGCAAATCTTGCAGGAAAAAGGGGGTTATTCTGCAACGCTAGCGGCATTTTCAGGAATATGCTGATTGTGTCTGAAGAGCACCAATTACTGTACATGTATATGTACATGTATACACACACAACAGAGGCGAAAGGCTGTGTTAGCTGTAACTTAAAGTTTCACGCATCGGAGCGATCATCAGACAGCAGCATTCACTATCGAATTCTCTACGAGCAGGCCTAGATATTTGATGCTAGTGTGGAAGTTAGTGCATATGTGCGAAGTGAAAACGTAGTATGGGACAATGGTATTGAGTTGTTTTGTGAGAGTTAACGGATATAGGTGAGAATAGAGGCGATAACAGGGCAGTGTTACCGAGTCATCACAGGCGATAGCGCAAGACCACAGCAGGAGGGAAGAGGGAGAGAGAAAGCACCATGGCGCCAAACCTGGTGCAGGTTGCGCCATGTTGAAAAACTCATGAAACTGATGGTGAGAATCTGGACAGGTAATACTTGTTCTCGTGTCTGCATTTCGACACCAACACCGACCTTTTGTTGATGTTGACCGTTTTGTCTGCTTCCAGGATCTCCAGTTTCTCAGCCAGGCATAGGGGACACCACTTGGTCGCATTCGAGTAGGCCTGGGCCTTGGTGACGATGGCCCGTTTGACAGAGTGCGGAGTGTTCTTCCGCTTGAGCTTCCATATGCACTTGGACAGCTCCGTGCTTTTTTCCATCCTCTCATGCCTCGTCGTGCTCATGTGATTGTTGTATCTCTGTTTAAAGAGTAGTTCCGTTAGGCCGAGGTACTCGTGCCGCTGCTTTCTTCCGGTGTGCTGGACTGTTGCCTTGTACACGATGCATCATACTTGGCAGTCGCCGTCCATTGGGCAGGTGCTTTTGTCTCGGCAGTTGCATCGTTTGTCGGGGACTTTCTTGTCCTGTGTTTGTCTCTTCCTTTGAACATGGTTGTTTTGGGATTTGACTACTGCGGACATATTCGGCATACATGAACTTTGACGGTGTTGCGGTTAAATATCTGATGCAATCGGCAGCCGTGAGGGAAGTGTGTGTCGAGGAGTCGGAGAAATTTGTGTGCGATGTCTGTGGCCACGTTCTTGCTAAAGGGTGGGTTGTACCAAGTGATGTTGCGCCGCCTATTTTTCTTTCTTCGTCCTGTCTCCTCCTTCCTCTCGTCCATGTACTCGACTCGTTCCACGCATCCACTCTCTCTCTGAGGGCATCGTTGTACGCTGGTGCCGATTCCTTCAATACGTGTCGGTCACTTGACATGATTGTCTGTTAGTCGTCTGCTGATCGTCTTTGGCAATTGTTGGATGATGGCCGGTGGGTGATTGGAAAGTTGGTGGACATAGACGGGCTTGTTGTTCGGCTTCCGGTATGGTTGGTATTTCTCTGTTGACAAATCCAGTGTCACATCCAGGAAATCTACCGTCTTCATGCCAGCGCTGATGGTCAGTTTCAAACCGAGATTCGTGAAAATCTGGCATAATAATCAAGTATGGTTTTTCTGGCGCGGTCTGCTGTACTGCCCGTCGCATCTCTGATCACCGCTAGTCGCTTCGACGGTGCAGAAGTCTGCGAACTCGTCGGCACATATGCCCTGTCAAAGCTATGGGAGGAGTTCGACAGCGCAGACATCGGATTGTACCGCGATGATGGACTATCGGTAATCAGAGATGCGACGGGCAGTACAGCAGACCGCGCCAGAAAAACCATATGTCAGATTTTCACGAATCTCTTGAGTATGGCAACACCGCACACGTACACTGTTTGTCGAAATCTCTTTATAACAAACTTCTTTCTGCCATTCGCTTAGCGCTAAATAGAATTTTTCCTTGGATAGAATGACCCCAACTGCCCTTCTCTACAGTAACACAAATGCATACACCCTTGAACAACGCCTCAATTTCAAGACCTATGTATTTGTGTATCGCTGCCTGAGTGGTCTTGCTTGCTCTCTCCTACAAGACCGCTTTACTCTTCGTGCTCACGGTGCTCACACTGCTGCCCTTACCCGTTGCCAGGTGTCTGCCGCGCTTGTTTTACCATCTGCTAGCACACGCTATGGTTTCAGTGCAATTTCTTACGTAGGCGCTGACCGCACTGCCACCTGCTTACCGCCTTTCTAATTCACCTGCTGAATTTCGATCATCCATCAAGACTTTGTTAGGGTTCCCTGTAAGAAGGAGATGACGCCTGTTGGGAATTCCCCAGTAAAATAAGAATGGACTCAGTTAGTTGTAGAACGTCAGTACCGTCGGTCAGTGTCGTGCAATGTTATCGCATGACCTGATTGTTTAGTAGCTGGTGGTGTTAGTGGACAGTACTAGTATAGCGTAACTTGTAGTTCCTTGGTCTTTCTCTTTTGTATAAAAATAGGAATAAAAAAAATAAATAAATAAATGTAAAAGAGAAAAGGACATATGGATACGAGTTTAGAGTAACTCTCCATCACTGTAACATGATACTATATACAGTCAGAAAGTGCAATAACTAGGCACAAAACTGACAGAGTACTGAGACATTCGACGTCCTGACACCTAACTTTAACACATCTCCGTAGCGCTAACCGACAGCCTTCCAACTTGGAAGGTTCAAGGTTATGGAAAGACCAAAGAGGGGAAGGCAAGCGCAACGAAAACGAGCAAAAGCTACAGTCCCAACGGAACAAAGAATGTCGATTGTTACTGGACGATGACGAGACCAGTACGATATTTGACAAAGCGGTCTAACTACAATTCGAAGCAGCAAAGCAGCACACCACCCAACTTGGGTGGGTCATAAATATCAAAGATAAGTAAAGAAAGGGAAGCTTTGCGATAACGAATTGTACAAGCCGAAAGCCAAACTCCTACAGTACTCCTCATGCATGACATTGTGATGGACTAGTTGACTACAAAACACTTTGCACTTTCTGACTGTATATAGTATCATGTTACAGTGATGGAGAGTTACTCTAAACTCGTATCCATATGTCCTTTTCTCTTTTACATTTATTTATGGCTCAACATCCGAGTTTCAAATTGCACACCTGATGAGCCGTCACGAACCATACGGCGAAACGTACGTCGTGTGAAACAACTTGTTTTGTAGTCAACTAGTCCATCACAATGTCATGCATGAGGAGTACTGTAGGAGTTTGGCTTTCGGCTTGTACAATTCGTTATCGCAAAGCTTCCCTTTCTTTACTTATCTTTGATATTTATGACCCACCCAAGTTGGGTGGTGTGCTGCTTTGCTGCTTCGAATTGTAGTTAGACCGCTTTGTCAAATATCGTACTGGTCTCGTCATCGTCCAGTAACAATCGACATTCTTTGTTCCGTTGGGACTGTAGCTTTTGCTCGTTTTCGTTGCGCTTGCCTTCCCCTCTTTGGTCTTTCCATAACCTTGAACCTTCCAAGTTGGAAGGCTGTCGGTTAGCGCTACGGAGATGTGTTAAAGTTAGGTGTCAGGACGTCGAATGTCTCAGTACTCTGTCAGTTTTGTGCCTAGTTATTGCACTTTCTGACTGTATATAGTATCATGTTACAGTGATGGAGAGTTACTCTAAACTCGTATCCATATGTCCTTTTCTCTTTTACATTTATTTATGGGTCAACATCCGAGTTTCAAATAAATAAATAACAGTCGTTAAGATAGCCCCTCAGTCTAGCACCAGAGTGCTCAAACTACGAAACGTAGCGGGCAATGCGTGATGTAGCAGCACTAGAGCAGCCTACTGAGAGTGCTCAACAAGACGAAAGCCGAGGAACTTAATACCCAATGCAGTAGACAGCGAGCTGCTTCCGCCATAAAGGCCTCCTCAGTACAGGTACGAGCTAAGAGTACGTACATACTCTTTGTGAAGCCAATGGAGCATTGCGTTAGTGGTATGCGGTTCTTCATACGCGCACAATCCGCATTTCTACCTCGTAAGTTACAAATCAGATTTCGGCCTACTCCGCCTTGTTGTACACATCTGTAGAACACAAATCGTACAACATTCAATAGCTGGTTTTGGTAAAATATGGCTACTCAAACACACCCAAGGCAGTTTTCTTTTTACCAAGCTATTGTGCCTCACGCTCGCTCGCTCGCTCGCCATCTTCTTTTACGCCGTAATGGCATGCAAGCAAAATCAACAATCTCAGTGCTCGGCCGCGAAGCCGGGTCAGTGTCCATTTCTAGTCTCGATATGCCGGTTCTTCAGGCAGCACGGCTGTATCGTGGGCATCATAGTCGCATGCATTCTGACCGTGATCATCATAGATATCG